TGTGCGAGACCAGAGACCTGTAGTTCACTGAGCGGTTTCACACAAAAAAAATTGTAACTTCACAGTTTCACGAAACATTTTTATTTTTTTGACTTGCAAAATGTTCTTTTAATTTGACAAACATCATATGTGTCATTCGTGGCACAATTCAAACGGGATCGAAATATATTTCTCTCCCCATTGACTTCAATACATACTTTTTCCGAAATAAGGTCCCATGGAGGTCCCCCGGAAAGGGAGGGACTTCGCCTCTCTATGACATCTGAAGTTGAAGACGTAAAAGTCATCAGCATAACGCACAATTTATACGATATAAATATGTATTTTTACCACATCCAAAATGTGCTGTAAAAACCCCTAAAAAAAATGCTTTCATTTGTCTGTGGAAAAGGTCTAGGAACCCTGAACACATATATTAGCCGTTTGTAACACAAAGCCACGGTTGCACAAAGGTTGCATCAGTAATGTGTTGGTTTAGTCGTGCAAGTGGTAATTAATCATGTAAAGTAAAGCAGCATTTTGATAAATCCTGATTTGTGTCCCTCTCAGCCTGCGTGGCAGTGGAAAGATCTGGTCCAAGTCCAACTGAAGACTGAGACGTGGAGACAAGGCACTGATGGACACTCACTGATTCACGGACACATGTTGACGGACAAACAGATGATCAAAGACACCTTTTACACTCTGCACAATAAAACCAGGAAGCTTCATGGGAACCTTTTTGTTCTCCTTGTCACAAAGTGTCACCACGACGGATTTAGAAACACACACCGGCTGATGGAAGATGACAGGTGTGACATCCACTGGGCTGTTTCTAATAGCCTAATTGGCTAGTGCAAACACACACATATACACATACACACACACACACACACACACACACACACTTGTAACACATGATAAAATGACAGAATGCTGCAGGAGTCCGTTGCCTTTGACCAGAAACAGGATCAGTGTATGTGCGTGTTGGTTTAAAAATGTTCCTTTTTGATTTAGATTCATTCTATGTTGCTCTGTAATTTTTTTTTTCTTCTCTCTGTATAAAATCAGAATATAAATTGTTTGGGAAATAAAGCGAAGCCGTGTACTTACCCTGCCTGTCTCATTAATGTCACTGTCGGTTCTTTTATTACATGCACTTCAAAGTGCATCTCTGGGGGGTGCACAGCTAAATGCTAACTCGCAGAAGGGGGGCTACCGTTAGGAGGTCAAGCCATTAATTAGGGCACGTCCCTAAAGAGACTAATGTATTATAGAGCTGAGGCTTCCCCTGTGCGCAACCAGCATGGATACACACACACACCAAGCGCATTCATATTTGATGTGCGTATGTTTTGCCCAGAGCTTTTATTTCAATGTCAAAATTGCTTGTTGAAACTGCCTGAAACCCTCGCTGTTCCTCCTCCGCAGAAAGAAACGTCCCTAATCATTCCCCGCCCTTCTCTAAATTCTCTATCCGCTCTTAATCCTGCGTGACATTAATAGTGGCAATTATCTGACCAACAGAGAGGGAAATGAAGATCCTGTCTCATTTAACCCTGCATTTTTCTCCACACACCCCTTCCACCTCTATAAATAGTCTTGTTAATTTCAGTCGGTGTGATTGAGCTTCATTGGATCAGTTTTTTTTTTTAGCAGAGCTGTGATTTCTAACAGCTGTTCACCTCGCAGAGTGTTTGTTGGCGAGGAAGTGTGTTTGTTATTGGTGTGAGCGATGACTCGGCAGACCTGAGTTCACACCCAACTTCTGCTTTAGTTTTTGGCCCGCCGCGGTTACGGATTACTGCGGCATCTCGCTGCTATGTGTCTAATAACTAGACGGTCGTTAAAACTTCCGAGTGGAACAAAGCCAATCAATTAGTTTGATTGATCAGTGAAAAGCCCAGAGGAGATGGAGACTGCAGCACACTGGGTGGAGAATCTGGAATACAAACGAGTGGCACTTGTCCCCCGGCGGCCTCCCTGATTTTATTGACATTCGTGTGAAAAACTGTACACAGAGGAAATTCTTGCTTAGCACCCTGTTAATCTTTCGGAAGCGAGAGGAATCCATACAGGGTGATAAAGAAAAGCTTCAGACGCAAGAAGACGTTTTGATTCTTCGCCTCCCTTTTCAGCGCCCTGTCACAGCTGATTGGCACATGTAGGACTCTTTCATTCCCTATAAAATCAATACAAGTCGGTGGACTAAACGTTTACTTCAAGGAGAAAAAGATTAAAAGACAGCGGCAGCTTTTAAAAATGCACAGTGTAAGCTTTGTCCTTCCCACAAAGCATTGCACACCCCAGAGGAATTCACTCAGCATGCACAGAAATAAGCACAAAAGCTAAAACGCCAGTGTTGTGTCTTTATTGAACTTCCATGGTACAGAAAGACCACATTTTCTACAGGAATGCTACTAAAAATCACAAGACTCGTTATCTGGAGGATTGCACGCATGATGCCACCAGCACTACTGTGTCTGAAGTGGAAACGTTAAGACGGGATTCAAAGCTGTTTAGAAAAGTTGCCAAACACAAACTGACATTTGGCTTTGAAAGGCTCTAGAAGACGTCACTCACTGATAGATAAAATAGACATTTATAAATAATGGATTTGCTGCTACTCTCACGGGTTTTCTTACTGTATACATGCAGAATCATCGGAGAGACAGAGATGATGTGCCTTGATGTACAACTTTCCTTTGGTGCTCCCAAGACAGTTGATATACGGCGACTTGAAATGTGATATGAGAGGAAATTACGGTGGGGTTTGTTTTTCCAGATTGATATACTTGGCTTTCAGATGGAGAGAGAAACCCTCGTCGTGGTAACATCCGTCCTCTGATCACGCGCACAGTTCACACGTGAATCTGTCTTTGTTGTGCGCCATCCAAAAAAACCCGTTGGGAATCATTGATTTTCAACACTTTTGCCTCCTCTATCCACTCTGAATATTTTATCTCGTCCACTGGAAGTACTCGATGCTTAAAACAGCCCTAACACAGTCCAGCAGGAACAGAGGGTGCTCACAAAGAGGTGAACGTCAGCCGGATAATTAAGGAAACAAATCATGAGGAAAAAGCCGAAACAAAAACCGACTCCCGCTACACTACAGAGGAAAAAACAAAAAAAAACACTATTTGCATTTCAGGCGCCCAAAGCAGGGAATAAACAGCAGTTTTTGAAGCGTGACATGTTAAACACATTGCCTGTTGGCTACGGCCCTGCCAAACGGCTTTGTGAAATACCCCATTCAGTGTTTGGAGATGCTGAGAATGGTTTCTTTTTTTAACCATTTGCAAACCAGATTCAACTGAATTGAAGTGTCATTTGATGAGTGGTGGCGTAGTGGGTTGTCCGGGTCACAGGTTCAAACCCCACTGCAGTCAGCATGTCGTTGTGTCCCTGGGCAAGACACTTCACCCCAAATTGCTCCTGTGGGGATTGGCCACAGTATGTTAGTCGCTTTGGATAACAGCGTCAAACAAGTGACATGTAATGATGAAAGAACAGTCTGCTGGATTCAAAGGGACACTGGTCGGCTTTACAAGTGCATGTGGGGTCAGCTGTGGAAGCACAGGTAGGGCATTTCAGGGGCAATGGGATGTCGAGCGTCTGTTAAACTGATTGTTTGTGAATTAGTCATGGCGGGCCGAGGAGAAGAGCTCAAGGCTATGGATGGAAAACAGGTAACAGTGACGCAGATCCACATGAAAGAACATTTAAACCGTACAAAGGATGGAGGCAGCGGGGAGATGAGTTTGGGGCTTTTAGACCTCGGGGAAGTGGAGGAGTTTTGTGAAGGCTGGATACCTGGGACCCCTGGATTCAATTCACAGTTTCAGAGAAAATAAAACGGCGCTGCGGGCACACCCTCCGGTCGGATTGAGGCTCCTCCTCGGGCCCCGTAGATATGTTTACCATATGGAGAAACAGTCACCTCAGAGGTTCACAACTGGGATCCTGACACAGCAAGAAACATAGAAGAAGAAGAAGAGTCAGAGGGAAAGAAAAAAGGAAGGAGGTTTGGGGTTGTTGATGGAGAGGAAAGACAGAAGATAAGAGGGGAAGGGGAGGCCTGAAGCTGAAGGAGCAAACGGAAAAAGCTGCTTCACAGGGGACTGAGAGGAGGAGGAAGATGGAGGAAAGAGCTGATGGGAAGAAGGAAGTGAGAGGGAGTACAGCTCTATAATTATCCTGATCGAGATTAACTTTAAATACCCTCGAACAGACACGTGCAGAGGATGTTAGAGGAGCACGGGGCCATATTAATCAAAGGGCATTATTATACTTTTATATACATATTAGCCAGGGATAACAACTTTTGTGACGGTTTTAATAATGTATTTATATCAAACAAACAATGAGGTTGGCTCAAACACTTCTACATGACAGTTACTTAATGATACATGCAAATAAATTAGGTATATTTCAGTCTCTGTGCACGTGCCTGTCAGAGGTGAAGAAGTACTCTGTTACAAGTAAAAGTACCAAAAGTAAAAGTAGTCATTGTGCAGATTGGTCCATTTCAGAATAATATATATGATATGTTTATAATGATTGATCATTAAAGTGTTATCAAAGCTGGTAAAGGTGCAGCTAGTTTGAATGACTTTGTGCAGGGTCAACACAGTCTCGCGGCATTTCGTGTTATAGTCACAAATTCAATCTATTGATGCGTGTTCACCAAAACGATTTCCCCATTTTTTTCGTGTAACACAGAATGATTTAAAAAGCAATGTAAATAATAACAAATTAGAAGGAAATAAATATTTAAAAAATACAGATATCAGTATTCTCATTTCTTTTCCTCGCGGACGGCAAAAAAACTCCAACATTATACAATTTAAAAGGGTTAGGGTTAGGCTTAGGGTAAGAACATTTTTTTATGAACCACACAGCTTCCGGTCTTCCAAGGCCCGACCGGACAAAAAGACGTGGTGCAGGCACGAAACATACTACCAATAGAAATACATTGCTTTTAAAATCGTTCTGTGTGACACGAAAATCGTTTTGATGAACACGAATCAATAGATCAAATTAATTTCGTAACTATACGAAATGCCGTGAGACTGGGTTGGCAGGGTAGCTTGTGAATTTACTCCAGGTGGAACTAAACTCTGATTTAAGAGTTGATTATATTTCACATCATTAATCAAAATCTGTAGAGTAACTAAAGGTATTAAATACATAAAAGTAAATGTACACCATTTACCTCTGAAATGTAGTGGGGCAGAAGTATAAGATGCAGTTTGGGGTAATAAATACATTATTATATGCTGCCAAACTGGTTGGCATGTATCAAAGTGTACTACTGTTACCATCAGGGTCCCATGATTTGGTACGGTTAGACCAGAGCACTTTAGTGCAGCGGTCAATCCTAAATTAAATACAGATTTACCTCTGAACTGTGTTAGAGTAGAAGCAAAGTAGAAAAAAGTATCTCAAAGTTGTACAGCACTTGAGTAAATGCACTAAGTTACTTTACACCACTGACTTTAAACACCCTCTAATAAAAGCATAATTTCGTGGACTTGGCCCCACTATGACTCATCTGGAGTTAAAACACTGATACACCAACACTGCAGGCCTGCTTTCTCCTCAGAGACTCCATCATCAGATCCTTATAAGACATAACAATCCAGAGGTGCACAGACACACACACAGACTCATCATTACCTCTCCCTGTTGGTGGAGGAGGAGGAGGAGGAGTGCAGCGTCTGCCGGCTGTCCTCTGGAGCCAGGGAGCGGGGGAGAGCCAGGGAGAGCGGGGGGGCAACACCACGGGAAAGCGGGGGTGGATGCTGGGAACAGCTGCGGTCGTAACTGGGAGAAAGAGGGATAGTGACACAGAGAGATTAGAAAAAAGAGAGAGGAGAGAAATCAGGGGGAGAGAGGGTGGGGATGATGGGACTAGGAGAAGATGGGAATTGAGGAGGGGCAGGGATAGAAACAGATGAAAGGACTCAAGGAAAGTTGGAGATTGATAACAGTAAGAGAAGTTTAGAGAGTAGGAAATGATAGAGAATAGAATATAATCCTTTATTTTCATGATACAGGTACAATGAGATGAGTAGAGCTAAGGTGCCTTCAACAAAAACAAAACAAGAGACGTACAACATACAAACAACAAGCGTTCATACTTCAATACGCAGATACAGTTAAAGTGCAGGAATATATCGGTTTAATGTAGAGATGGAAGGACTCAAGGAAAGATTGATAACAGTAAGAGAAGGTTAGAGAGTAGGACATTATAGAGAAGGGTGACATTAAGTGAGATGGACACAGGAGATACAGCAGAATAAAAGAGAAGAGATAGATAAGAGGAAAAGGAAAGAAGCGGAGAGAAGGATGGGAAAGGAAACATATGGGAATTAAGGAAAAAAGAGGGATAGGAATAGAAACGGAGATGAAAGGTTGGAGTTGTAAGAAGAAAGACACCAGTAACGGAAGATTAGACAGAAGGAAATGAGAGAGAAATGGACACAGAGGAAACAGCAGAATAGGATGGGAGAGGAACAATATGGGAATTAAGGAGAAAATGTCACGACCTTAACACAAACTGGAGAACCCAAATGCACGACCCAGAGACCGTCTTGAATGTAGCAACATTAACAGAGTACTCGACTTAACAAAAAGCTCTCACAAGGAGGAAAAAACAAAGCGTAACAAAAAGAGAATTTAAGATTAACTTAAAGGTGGGGTAGGTAATTTTGGAGAAACCAGCT